TTTCTTAAAGGTGGGACCAAATGGGGGCCCCTCCCCCCCAAAACCCATTTAACCTTCCCCCCCCCCCCCAAATTGCGGTCACGTTTCCAGCTTTCGTTTTTCGGACTCCTCTCAGCATCTCACCTGTTCTGGACGATGGGTTTGTCGCCGTCGAGGATCCCCAAGGAGCTTCAGCTTGACGTGACGGGAACCAGGCGGTATACGTGCCTCTGGGGGGGTTAGGAACGCTGCAGATGTGAACGCCACTTTGTGTTAACAGTGCATGGCCTCTGGATAAAGTGCTACCGATCATGCACAAACCCCTCCGAAAGTGGAGTCTCTACGTGTTCCTGTGTTTCGGCATCATATACCTCAGACTAGGGTGAGTTTTTTCTTCTTCTTCTTCTTCTTCCCCTCCTCTCTCATAGCTTCCTTGCACGCGCGAGCTGTAAAATTGACACACACACAAAAAAAACATACGCACTTGATGTGTGGATTAAAGTGCCCTCTGACCTCACGTTGAAAAAAAAATTTTAATATCAAAATTAGATGCATCGACTTTTTTATTTTTTATTTTTTAAATAGTCTTGTGAGTAAAAAGTAGCGCCCGGTTGCTTGTTGCAATGGACACCAAGAGGCTTTATTTGTTTCATGTCAGGAGGCTCTTTGCTCCTTTTTTTTTTTTTGGTTGTTGCACAAGATCATTTCAGCCAGTGTCTCAGCTCCCGATCCTGCATACCTTCATTAATAGCGGCAGACTGAGTTGTATTTCCACATTCCATTGCCTAGACTGAGATTTTTTTTTTACGTCTTTACCTGTTTTGCAATAGCTCAGAAACACACCACACCATGACACATCATCCAACGTCTTCATAGCTCTGGAAGAACTGCTCTAATATTTTGTGCGTGTTTTGCTTGTAACTATTGTTTTGCCAAAGCCGGTCCCAGGATATATGAGGGCCACGGCACAGTGTTACTGGGGTGGGGGGCCACCACTGCAGTTCACAGAGCAAAAGACAACATTTTCAACTTAAATCTTCAGGTAGACCTGATTGATAAATTAGTCAGCTTGAATTGTGTACGTGGATTTTGTGTGTGTGTGTGTGTGTGTGTGTGTGTGTGTGTGTGTGTGTGTGAATTAAGGCTACATTCATTTTGTTTACAGCTTAATTGAAATATTCCTATAACGTGTTTAAAAAAAATTCCCAAGGGTCACAGACAGTATAAATCATCCAGAGACGAATAAATGGAAATGTAACTTCAACTTGTGATATTGTGGGAATAATATCAAAGTGGAGAAAGTGTCTTTTTTTATTTTGTTTTGGTGAAATGTTGAGAGAATTGTGTTAAAACGAAGTAACTGTAATATAATTTATCATTTTCAGCACCCCAGAACCTCTAAAATGAAATCACTCAGTCAAAGTATCCTGGAGTAATATTCTAGTTTATCATGACTTCGCCGTTTCTCATGCGGATGTCCCGAAATCATTCCTAATGCTCGTTTAGATTTACAGGTCTTACAATTCATGTTGGGCTATATACCTCAAACTTTAGCATAACAGTCTGTTGTCAACTTAGACATTTTTTTTTTTATGGTTCGAGCTCAATCAGTTTTTGCATGTCGTCACAAAGTAACCAGCTTGTTTTACGGTTAACTCGTTAATCGACTTTTGATTAAGTCGACGATGCATCAGGAGGCGTTTTGCTCAAAGTCATGTCACTTTATCTCATAAATAAATCAACTAGGAGGAAGTACCCATTGATTTTTACACACAACAATTTCATGGGTGCAAAATAGCGCCGTGGTTAGCGCTGCTACCTCACAGGCATCGGGATATGCGGGTGTAGGTAACGGATGAATGGACGGTGCGTTTACATGCGCTGTGTGAACTTAAGTTAATGTCGAAGTGGATTTTTTTTAAGGTTCCCTTTAACCTCGGGCCGATCCGTGAAACTTAATTTGAGTTCTGTGTGTGCTTTTAAGCGATCCCCAAAGGTCGCTGGATAAAATAAATAAAAATGATGTCAGAAGAAATACATTTAAGCATGATATCTGTTGCAATTCATCCCAAAAGTATACATATTTTATGCTTCCTGCAATGAATATGAATCCTTTTGTTTTTGACAGCAGTGAGCCATGTGTCGTATTGTTCAAAAAGAAAATAATAGATTGCACATTTACAAAAACCAGAGACATAAAGTATCTGGTGAAGCCCTGAGAACTTAATGAACAGTGGCACCAGTGGAGGAGAACCGGGCAGGCAGTCGTTAAACCCCACCACGGTCTCGTATGCTGTCTGTTGTTCTGCTGTGCAGTAAAAAGGTTTAATGACGGAGAGGATACCGTGACTGGTATCTATTATTTATTTATTAATACTCGTCCAACATTTTAACATTTGTTACAAGCCACTTTTAAGTCAGTCACTCGCTGCTCGAAATTGGAATCAAATGTTTTTTACGGTTTTCCCTTCGACCAAACAGATTATATCCACAACAGGTCCAGCGAACATACTGATTCAAGAGGCGGCAGCATGAGCTTCGGCTAGTCAAGCAAACACCCCATGCACAACACCAGCATAACGTTTCCACTGTGGCGTTAAGCTTTGCTGTGCCACCCCGACTCTATCGCTGCTCACCATCTGGCTGCCCCTTCCCGACTTTCTCTGGCTATCGCATGACAATAGCTCCACTATGAGGTAAAAGTAACCCATCTTCATGTTTACTAATCCGGAGCTCTTGGCTCACTCCGTCCATCCTTTCACTCCGGCTGAAAATCTTTCATGGTACCCTCTTTGCTTCCAGTGCAGGTGTTGAGTGAGAGTCACAATGCTGGGGCAAAAGAACGAAAGAAAGAGAGGAAAGAAAGAGAGGGAGGAAAGAAAAAAAAAACCCTGCGACAAAATCTTCAGTGTTTTATTTCCTTGGTCTGATTCCATTGGACTCTCATGATGTTATGCAGTAGATTCCTCTTATTTGTGTAGATATATCAGCTGGAATCCTTTTTCGGATTAAAACTGTGTCGTAAAATCATAGCTGTCATCTTCAGGTTAAGTGGAAATCTAATTCAAGGAATAAGAAACAGGGAGACAGATTGTTGATGCCTTGTCTTTTTAGGACAAGTATTAAGACTTTACACTGTAAGAAGGGAATTTGGAGGGAATTATACATACGAATTCACTCAAGTGTATCAGTTTGTTAATGTAATGTACATTAATGGTTAAATTATAACAATATTGCCTCATTTTGAAAATAATTGAATGGACATGTTTGTTCAGTCCAGTCAGCCATTCTTCCCTTTCATTGTCGTGTCCAGCAGAGAACAGTAAATACATTCACTTACTGTTCTCCATAGACACAGTATCAATTCAGGGAAAGTCAAGACCCATAGTAAAACTTTGTGACCTACTTTAGCTAGTTTAGCAGCAGTGCTAATGCTAAAGTCGGCTTTGCTAGCGTCCTAACTCTAGGAAGTTGTTGGCAATGAACAGCTTAACTGTGGCCGTCAAAGCTTCCCGTGCTGCATTGCTAAAATAAATAGTGTCAGTTTGTATCCAGCTTTGGGTAGCTTAGCAATAGCCCGAATGCTAAACTGAAACTTGCTAGCAAGCTGAGCTTCTAATCCCAAAGGTAATCGCTGCAAACAAATTGTACATCCAGCCATGACTTGCCACATTCTTAGAAAAGACAGTTTGCTACCATTTCACTAGCAACTATTTTTATTTTTGTTTCTTTTTAAAATGGTGGAAAACCATGTAACCTTTTTGAAGAAACAGCGAATTAGCTAGCTTGTCACATTTGGCCCTTTCCACTAGCGCCTAGCAGAGGGTTAGACCAGGCTCAACTCTACTCTGCCCTCCGTTGCAAACAGGTAACAGTAAAAGTACATGTAAATACAAACAAACACTCAGACGGGTCTTTTTGTTCAAGTCAGAGTATTCCTCAACAAATAAAACAGAGATGAAAGCAGCTGAAGTCCAATGTTTGACCTGAATTTGTAGGATTTAAATCTACAATAAGGAAAACTAAGGGATTGAGAAATTTCTAAGTTCATCATATCACATAAACTGCTGATTTACTTGTACTTTACTTCAAAACAAATATAGAAAATTTGAGTAAGTATTTAAGTACTTAAGCTGTTGGATTAATCTGAGTGCAACTGTTTAAAACGAAATAAGTATTAAAAGGTCGATTGAACGCTACAATGTTTATTTTAAATCCTAATCTGTTTAAATAGCTAAAATAAAATAGGATAATCCTAACATAGTGGGATCTTAAAACGGATGTTGAATCATTCTAATTATGCACCCTATTTTTATGGGAAATTGTGTAACTTCTAACGATTCTGATCATTTATTACGCATGTCAGTCTGCGCAAGAGATCAGATTTGAATTTGTAATCTTAAATCCGCGTAAAACAAACAAATAAATAATCATTTTACCATGGCAACAACTTGTTGAATCAGAGAGAGGTCGCGACAGAGAAGTGTGCGCTCGGTCTGTTTTATTTGAAGCTCACGCAGCTTTTCGTCAGCGATTGTTTATTTTTGGCTGGATGGGTTTAGGGTAGCAGCGGCAGGGGCGGCGGCGGCGATGGTGGCTATGGAGGCTGATCATGAATGAAAACCTCCTTCACATCCAGCGTGGAGGTGGGGGGTGGGGGGAGTGGAGGGGATCGGATCAGTGTCACCCCATTGTCCCGCCGTGGCAAAGTGGGCGGATAGCAGTGTCTCCTCCTGCCCAATGGCAGCCGCGATCCTCATGAGAGCGCAGAAGAGGCACTTTTCTGCCATGCAGAATCCCTAAAACCATCATCGCTCCGGCTCGGCTCGGAGAGCCCACAGCAGTGCGCGTCAAAGAGCCTCGGCTGCTGAGAGATGTCAGAGCCAACCTCGGCGCACACACGGCCCTGCTGGGAGCTCGGAGCTGCGTAGGGAGCGCCGTGCAAGGAGAATCTCTGGTGTCTCTTCTCTCTCTCTTCCTCTCTCTCTCTCGAGCGGACATAAAAGCAGGAATATACATCTTTTTTTCTATTTTTATTTTTAATTTTGTTTACTTGCATCGGCGTCGTCTCACTCTTGTCCGAGCGTGGCCATTCGCTCAATGTCATCATGATCATCATCTCGTCGCGCAGTGTACTGCTGTCAGTCTACTACCCGCAGATCTTCCTGATCCTGACGAGCGGAAGCTACCTGTAAGTTAGAGCCAATTAACCCAACTGCTCCTTAATTAGCTCCGGAGCCTGCCTGCTCCGCGGCTCATCCACACCCACATCCACACCGCATTTTAGTTGTTGTTGTTTTTTTTAATCCCACTTACTAAATACATCTGGAGATACATTAACGTTTCTCGCTGTAGATAAAGTTAAAGGGTTTTTTTGGAGAGCGCGTAATGCGCAACGAGCTGTTTGTTCATTGCCAACCACATTGCTTCTTCTTCTTCTTCTTTTTTTTTCTTCTTCTACTCGTCGGATTTTAATTGTAAGATGAAGTTGGGGGATTCCAATCACAGTGCACATCGTCAGGAAAGCCATCCACGTGGGCTGATTAGTTAGACTTGAACGCCGCGTCATGTCCGCGCGTAACGAGCCGCGCCGTTGATTAATCGGTCGCCGCATCAAACGGTTTTTTTTTTTTTTTTTTGCATGTTCCGGCCAACATCATTTTGATCACATGCTCTTTTTTTAAAATTCTTTTTATATAAATTATTTTCCTCCAGAAACTTGTTTTCGGATTCATTTCGGCCACTGAGTGGCAGAGGTGTTCTAGACATTTCGGATGTGGATTTTCAGATTTTACTTTCTTTCTGAGGGGAAAATGTAATGTGTGCGCGGTGACGTTTTATTTGTGTGTCGTTACAGCACCTTCGGTTTGTTCTTGGTGTGTGAGTGTGTGTTAGTATTTGATCCTGCGTCCTTTTGACCTGCTGGCAACAAGTGATTGATGCAGAGGCGTCTCCAGACAGCGGTGTTGAATGAATGGACGAGCGCCCCCTGGGCCCATCAGACTTTTCTCATGTGTTATTATGCTTGTCAAGAAGAAAGGTGTTCATAATTCCCACTAAAAGTACATTTATTTAAAATTCTTTCTCTTATTTTTTCTTTTTACAAATATTATGTCTTGAGGAATCCCAAATCATGTCTTAAGGAATCTAAATTCAGCTTTAAAATGATCTCCTTCCCTCTTGATCCGCTGGATGCTGAACTAGAGGTGATCAAATCCGATCCAGACTCCATTAAAAGAACTAAACTAAAACAAAAGAGGCTTTTTTTTTTGTTTTTGTTTTTGCTTGTGTGTGTTTTTTTTGAAAGAGCAGAATCAGATGCTGCAGTATCAGCCAGCTGCAGTGCGCAGCCCACGTTTCACCGTAACACCAACACCGTGTCGCCGGAACGCTTAGATACGACAACTTGAACGCTAAACCTCGCGATTCTTGACACGCCGATTGCGCTGCGGACGTATTTTCCTTCCTCATTTGTCTGAAGCAGAACGCTGGCTTTTTCCAAAAATAATTCCTCATCCACTCCATCCCTGCTCTTCTCTCTTTTTTGCTGCCCAGAGACCCCAAACCTGAGTCCAAAATAGATGTGGTTTCCACTACTATGAATAGGGATGGCTTGCACATCAAAGCCACTCAGAACAGTGTCTGTTTTAATTCAGCATAATTCATGCCCAAATCTTTTCACCAGCCGTTTCAATAAGGGTTAAAAGCAACACGCCCGTGTCTTCGCAAAATATATTTTGACATGTTCCTTCATAGAGTTTGTTTAAAATGCCTGTGGCAAAGCAAGGCGATAGCAAAGTCTCCGCTTTCTGGAGGAACTTTGCTGCCGTGACCAGCATTTGGATCCGTGCAATTTCAATACGTTTTTATCCATCTCCTCTTATTTAACTTTTAAGCTGAATGAGCATCTGTTCAGGATCTGGAGCAGTGTGAATAGCCAGTAAACAGTTGTGTAGGAAACACAGAGAAACAAGCGGGAACAAAGCAGACGATGAGACGTTTCAGAGAGTTTCTGTTGCTTCGGTTGCTCTGAAACAGATCCAGGATGCTCCGTTGACCTTTTCAGATCCCGTCCTCAAGGCTCCCCCTGGCTTGCAGCTGGAGCCTCATGCTGAGATGTGATACACTCTCCGACTGGACGCGGGGCCCGCATGAGACTGTCACTGAAAGATGAAAGATGCCCCCCCCGAGGAAGAAATAGTGCGATTAGAAGAAAAAGAGAATGATGCAGCATGTTCTAATAGCCTTTATGTAAAACGGGAAGACAACGTTTAGTCGTACTGCTGCTAAACTAATGTTATATTCTCTACGTTTCTAACACACTGCAAAAACGCTTCTGGTGCAGACATCTGAGTACACGTTTCAACAAGCTGAACAAATAACAAAATATAGTTTTAAGTCAATAATGATGAAAACGTGCTATTTCCACTGGCGGATTATTTCGCTTATAACATGAGAAAAATATCTTGTTATAAGTAAAATAACCTGCCTGAGGAACTTTTTTTTTGATCAATATTGAGGAATTATTGACATAAAACAAGCTCCTGTATTTTGTTAGGAGCTTGTTAGTTTTGTCTAATTTCAAGTGTATGAAGACATTTGCACTAGAAAGTACACCAAAAATATTTGGTAAGGTTTTGTGTTTCTGCGCTGCATTTATTCACTACATTGCTGCTTGTGCACTGAAAAAAGAAAATAGTTGAACCAGTTTTAGATGATTTGTTTCAGTTGGTAACAAGTAATTCAATTAAACTAATCCGACTTAATTTCTTAACCCTTCCAGACTGAACGGAGAGCCAGCGATCCAGCCGAAGTTGCAGTACCGTAATTCCGCCACATGTAGCGCTGTCTGAAAAATTCCAACCGTTTCTGGAAGAGGGGAGACGTTGCACTTTCCAGCCAATATCGGGTTATTACGGTAATTTCACCCCTGCCGTAACAGGGAGTGACATTGATCTGAGAGGTGCGCTATTAATAGACGGTAAATTGCAAAAACGGCTACATATTGAAAGTTCAAAAAAGTTATGGATAAATGGGCAAATATATTTACTTGCAGGACATTTAAAGAACTGTGTGCACTTAAAATAAGCAAAAAAATATCCAGGCAGATATTTTTATAATAATATAATTTAGGACATAAACTAAGTTTGTTTAACTTGACAAATTTAAGACAGTCTTACTCAAATCACTTAGTTTACATCAAATAAAGAAGTAAACTAACGAGTCAAAATGTTTGTATTTGGTTCAAGCAGCCTTTATTTGAGAGGAGAGAGACAGGAAAGCAGGTAATGAAAGAGGGGGAAGACATGCAGCAAAGGTCATCAGGCTGGGAATCAAACCTGCGACAGCCGTGTCAAGGACTAAGGTCTCCTTATGGTGGTTGTGCTAGGCCCCTGTGCCACCACAGCACCAAGGTTGGTCCAGGTTCTGTTGCTGGTGAATATGGCGTCATGGCATCAGTCGTCAGATACGAACGCAGCATTGAACTTAATTGTTTCAAGTAAAGTAAAAATTTACTTTAAGTTAAAAATATGTAACTTTTCAGTTAATTCAAAATAGAAAAAAGTAAGTTGTCATCACTAAACCAAAAGAAAATTAAGTGAGATTAAGGTAAATAAGTCCATTGGATGACCTACAACTGTTAAGGTGTTTTACACTTTTTAGGGTGCGACATATTTGCTACAAGCGTAGCATTCAGCTGCCTGGCACCGCGCAGCAACAGGTTGGGAAGGGGCAGCGCTGTGTCACTGTTTGTTCCGAGGTTGATGATCAACAGGTGAGGTGGGGGGGTTCTGTTTGACATTTTTGAAGTGGGCAGCGCTGCGCCCGTTATATAATCATGCAGTTTGTAAATGAGCAGCCAGAGAGGAAACGCCTAACACAACAGCAATTCCCCGCTTTTATTCACTTGACACACTTCACTGTTTCTCCGGCGTTTTGGTAAGTGCATTCCTCAGCGGAAGATGCATGCCCCCGGAGCTTAGCAGCGTTTCAGTCAGGTTCATAGTGTTTCATGTGATGGAGTGGGTGGCTGGAAGCACGCTGTATGCCATGAGGGTATGGTTTCTTTTCAGGCCACCCTGCTTAGTAATAAAACCTTCAAGTTTTTTTTTTTTTCCCCTTCTTTTAAACCACTGATGTTGGGTAATGCTGCAGAAAGGCTGATGCCTCGCCGGTACTCAATCATTTCAGCGGCTGCCGAACTGCCCGGGCGCGACTTCGTGACACTTTTCGGTCGTCGGTTTTCCCGTCTCGTGGGAGACGAACCGTGCCCCCCCGCCCCCCACCTCCCTACCCCGCCGAGCCACTGCTGGCACAAACAGAGAACAGGGCTAAAGCAAACAGAATCACATTTGTGCGCTGCGATGATGCAGGGATTTAAAAGCTTAGCTCTGGAATTCCCTGTTTGGTGTTTGACGGTTTGGGACGGCGTTGGAGCTCTGTGTGTTTCAGAGAAAGTACCGGGCGATGAGCGAGGGAAACCGCTCGAGAGAAGGAGCCAGTAAAAAAACATCTAGCGTGGGCTTTCAGCAAAGAAATGTGAACACTAAAAGAAATGAAGGGATCTGGAGCGTATAGTGGCGTTGGCAACGATGGCGTCTGTCATGCCGGTAACCCTGTTCTACAGTAGCAGGTTGCTTTTACTTAATGAGTCCGCCCCCTTCGGCTTGTGCAGACGGCATACCGCTGTTGCTAAGAACAACCACGTATACAGCTGGGGGGTCAAAAAAGGTCAGAGGAGTTCACATCTCTTTACGGCGGAGAGAGCAAAGAGGGCCTGAAAGCAGCAGCCGGCTGCACTGTTTGCTGTGCACCTGACAAATGTCTTGTTCTCTGCCTCAAGGCTTTTTCTTCTCTCCTTGATATAACATCTCATTTTTAACTTCTTTTTTTTTTTTTGCTGCAAATGCATTAAATATAGCGATATTTGGCTGCAACAAGCAGAGAAAGGTTAGGAAAATATGCCAGGAGTCTCTGATAAACATCTTTTTTTTTTAAATGTGTTGCAAAAGTATCCACTCCTGTTGAGGTTTTTCATGTTACTACGTCAAACTCTAATGTGTTTTTTTTTGTTTGTTTTTTTTTAGAAGTAGGGGGAACATTATGCAATACATGGTTTTCTAAAGTTAAGTAAAAATGATAAAAGGAAAATCTGAAGAGTGTGGCCTGCATTTTTATTCCATTCCATTTACTCCATAAGGAAATCCGGTGCTACTCTGACCAGCTTCCTTGGTCCTGCTGCTCATGCCTCCACCATGATGCTGCCACCAATGTGGTTTCATGGTGCGTTCAGGGTCATGCGCAGTGCGAGTCTTCTTCTGAACATGGTCAAAAACTTCCATCTTGATCTTCGATGACCAAAGCTGTAAATGCTTAAATCCACTGTGAGACTAAGGTTGCGTTCGCACCAGCCCTGTTTGGTCCACTTTTATGAATCTTCAGTTCATTTGTCTAGAAAGTGACGTTCGTTTGGGGAGGTGTGAATCGAACTCTAATGCAAACTCTGGTGTGCCTGAAAAGCTTGCTGTCGTTTTTGATTGTAGTGAACTCTAGCGTGGTTTGAATGCATATGTGAACGCCAAGCAGACTGGAAACCACTCCAAAGCCAGGAAGTGGACTGTAGCGCAGAGCATTCTGAGTAAATACAACGAAAAGGAATTAAATTAATCTAGAGCAAGCGGAAGATATGCCTCAAGAGAGAAATCCAACAGCCACTAAAATCAGACGCCACTCCATTTTTGTTTACATTTTTGGAAGGAAGTTGGGTTCATGTCGTCTTCGGAGATTTTTGCGTAATTTCCTTCCGTGGTTCTTGGTGCAGCGCCACCTCAGGCAAGGAGGGGAAAAGGTTTTTCGAAGTTCTGCCACCGCAGTATGACGCCGAACTGCATCGACTGAAAACTTAACCAACGTTGCAGTTTTGTCTCCGAGCCGACCGCACTCCAATAGTCTGAAAATTTGTGGGAGTATGTGCGTGCCTAAAATGTAAAAGGGTTTTTTTTTTTTTTTTTTTTTGGGGGGGGGCAAAGGTACTTGTCCAGATGAGATTATCTGGGAGTGACTTTTACCCAATAAAAATATATTAGTTCTCAGCCTGTGGTCTTCTCCCAGAAGCTCTGTAAACTCCAATCTAAATCCAAGAGACTATAATTCTTCAGCATTGTTCCTCCTCACCCATTCTTCCACTAACCCTCCTCTCCGCCTCTCCTTCCTCACGCTCCGCCATCCCGTTTTCGCTGACACACAACTCGCCTGAGTTCGTTCGCCCCATCTTGTGGTTAATCCTTTTCGAGGTCAACATCGTATTTCAAAAGGAGCAGTGTTCCTCCAAGCTCATTTCTGGCTGCCCGTCCTCGACATGTTTAAAAAAAAAAAAAAAAAAAGTACGTATCTACACGGTCTTGATGGCAGCAAACAGAGCCCTGGAGGGAGTCGGCACTTTGTTTTTGGCACCAATCCGCCTTTGGCTTCCTCAGCAGCAGAACCACCCCACCTTTTAAATGTGTTTTCTGCGTATTCACAGCAAATCACTGGATGTGTGTTGTCTCTGGGTAGAACAAGAGGAGGAGGTGTGTGTCATTTTCTCTAAAGCGTAATAACCTTGAATTACGGCGATTTGTGTTGAAAACGCTTTTTTTTGTTGTTTCGTTTTCGTTTTATGTACTCATTACAAATTAATTATGGGATGTGGCTGAAGATAAAACAGTCTCTTGTGAACAGCGAGGGTGGCACGTTACCTCAGGAGTCTGCCTCAAACGTGTAATTAAGCAAAGCCTGAGACGTATTACTTTGTGTGACATTTGTTTGAAAAAGGGACACTGCTTCCACACCGAGAGAAACCACAACGGAGTACAATGTGTTTCCATAAGAGCCTGGAAGCCCTTCACAGTGCTATGGTACCAAACAATTAGCATAAAACCCCAAACTCATTACTCAGACTCCCATCATCCGAGCCAGCACTGAATGCTGTCAGTAGTCAAACATGCATCCTGCTTTTTTCTTTCTTTTTTTTTTTCTGGGTACTTTCTGTAAGTTTCCATCTCCCTTAGCAGTTTTATGTGGGTTTTGTGTGAAACAAAGGGCCGAGGGGGAGGTACAAAAGCATCTCGTGTGCTAAGTACAGAGAATGTGTGATGCTGTGGGCCAGCGTTTCTCCCAAAGGAAGCTGGAAACTTGTCAAACTGTGTGGAGTTTGGAACCGTTTGAAAGGGCAGCGTTTTGTAAATTTGACTTTTTTTTTTTTTAGCTTCCCATCATGTTATGTTATCTCCTCATCATAAACATATCTGGAGTGTTGTCTTGATTCTTTCATGCATGTTTGAGAAATCCTTTAATCTCCCATGGCAACCACTCAGCTGGACCAAGCTCCGCCTCTTTGAGGACGAAGCTCCAGCTCGGAGCTGCAGTTTCCAAGCTTCAGCGTTACAGATCAGCCTTCTCGTACAACTTACCCACTCAGCTCCTTCAGACTAGCCAGCAGCAATCAGCAAACACCTGGAGGAACTGCGCACCTGCTGAGCTCATTATAGGAGCTACTTCTCATCACAATGCTGTTAAAATGTTGTTAAAGAGGAGCCATGTTGGGATGGAGGAGGCGAAGGCGGAGTTTCAGAAAGAGGAGGAGCAGGAGTTTTTAAAGAGACAGTAGCCCAATTTTAAGGTGTTAAATGACAAAGTCGGTTTTCTATTGAGTCGTATTTGGCATTCTTAATAACAGCCGGATGTAACATAGTTACTTGATTGTGCTGTAAACTGATTCTGTGTGGCTGGGAAATCCCTAATTCTGCCCCCTTAAGACAAGAAGAAAATGAGCTGAAAATGAGCTACCAGTGGGTATTTCAGGAGGTTCTTTGGTCTGACACATATCGTCAAATAAACATGAAAGTGGGTCGACCTTCTTGCACGTCTATCAAACGTAAATCCTACAGAAAACCTGGGAGGAGAACATGAGAGAAGAAGCAGAACTGTAGAAATGGTCAGAGATCCTGCTCTCTCTTTACTTCTAGAAGGGAAGCAGAATAAATTTACTATGTCAAATTGCACATCTACGATGAAAGATGAACTTATTTCAGTGTTATTTACTCATATTTACTAGAGGTGTAAGCATGTTTTCAAGGTTTACCCACCAGCCTTTCTTTGTGCGTCTGCTTCATGTGTGTGTTTCTCTCACTCCGGCAGGGCCCTGTCCTCGGTTGTGGCTCTGGGTGCCAACATCATCTGCAACAAGATTCCGGGGCTGGCACCTCGCCAGCGGGCCATCTGCCAGAGCCGCCCAGACGCCATCATTGTTGTAGGTGAAGGTGCCCAAATGGGCATCAATGAGTGCCAGTACCAGTTCCGGTACGGACGCTGGAACTGCTCGGCGCTCGGAGAGAGGACGGTCTTCGGTCAGGAGCTTCGAGTAGGTCAGTCTGAGTTCTTTCACCGCAGGGAAAAGGGCACAGTGTGTGCGTGCGCGAGTGTGTGTTTATGCACGTCTAGGGCTTACCATTCGGAGCACTGACATTTATTTTTACAGAGGAATTAAATTTTGGGGACACCTGGCTTCTTTCCTGAGCAACCTTTATCTTCCTCAGAAGTGGGATCAGTTTAGATTTGTGTAATAAATCTGGGCAAAAAGGTTTCAATATTCCCCTGTTTGATCTCTTACTTAGGTAGCCAACACTGAATGATGTTATTTTCACGTAAAAAGGTACAAAAGAAGCTTTGTGTGCTACTCCCGATGCATCCGATTTGACTTTGAAAGCTGTACGTTTAGGTGGACAGCCATGTCCAGATCAGCTGAGTTGGACTTTCTGGTTTAGTTCTCAATTGGTTCAAGTCTTACATGTCAACAGGTAACGTCTCATCAGAGCTGAGGTACCCCAAGGTTCTATCTTGGGACTCCTCTTATTTACTATCCTCGTGCTCCAGATAACTCAGAAAACAACATGTAATACGATTAGATACCATAACTACGCAGATGATGCTGAGCGCTGAGCAGATGATTCACTCCTGAACCTTCAGAGACACATAAAGACAGTTACAAAGTCGGCCTTCTGTCACCTGGAGAACATTTCCAGGATTAAAGGACTAACTTAACAGCAAGATCTAGAGAAACACATACATGTATTTAGCTGCATTGATTGCTATAGCGTCCTCACAAGTCCCCCCCCAAAAAAAAAAATTCCTCCAGCCGCAGTTGATCCAGAATGCCGCTGCTGCTCACATTCTCTCTGAAACCAGGAAGACAGAACACACAGCCCCAGTTCTGAATTTCTTGCACTGAGTCCTTGAATAGACGTTTCTTTTTTTTTTTTTTTTTTTTTTTAAATGCTTTTGCTGGTTCATAAATCTGAACGGCTTGGCACTAAAATACATTAAATATCTGTTGTCGTTACACCAACTTTCCAGACCGCTCGGATCTTCTGGTTCGAGTCGACTCGGCACACTCAGAACCGGATCCAAACACGGAGAAGCAGCAGTTAGTTTTTATACTTCACTAATCCCGAACAATAAATAATTACTAGAGTATACATAAATTTTTTATGGTCTTCACTCCAGTGTTTTATGATTTTTGATGATTGCGATGATATCACTTGATAAAATATGTTTGTTTTATGTTTGCAGCATGTAAAGCACCTTGAGTTGCCCGCTGTTGAAACGTGCTGTACGAATACATTTTTCTTGCCTCGGTTGGTTTGAGGTTGTGTTGCAGGGTTTCCATTTTGAGCTGATTAATTGAATGGAGCTCTGCTGGTCGTTTAAAGTTTGGGAAATTGCTTCATGTCCTAGCTCTGCTTTACTATTCATATTGATTTTGGAGGAATGTACGCCACACTTTTCAGTTTTTAGCCTTTAAAAACATATAAAATATGACGTTCTGTCCTGCTTTACAAGGACACGCAACATTGTTGTTGTATTACACAAACTTACAATAAAAAGAAACGGTAGCTTGTGGTTGTTATGTGGTACAAATACTTTTTCCAAGGCTAGGTATGGGTTGAACCGCTTTAGCTACCAATAATGTAGTCAAAAAATTGAAATGCGCTTGTCTTATTTACACAGAGAGAGAAAGGGGGGAAAAAGCTGCATAATGCATGCCATCATATTGTCTTGATTTTATGAAGAATCTGAAACATTTGGTACCAGTCCTCAACCCACTGAACCCAATGACATGTGTCTTCAAAGGTACCAAACCCAAGCTGTGCGCATCACGCAGCTTAAAACTTAAACCAGTAACACCCAATCTTTTTGCCTTTTTTTTTTGTTTCGTTTTTCTTTCACCAACAGCTTCATGTACTGCCGATTTGAGCCGGCCTCAGTCAGGAGGGACTCGCTCTTCAAAGGCGCTTTGCTTTCTGTTGACGCAGTTTCTGCTCCTGTCAGGGTTTGCAGCCGGCGGCGTCCTGGAAAAGCTACACACACACAGAGAGCCGCGCTTTGGTCCTAATGGAGAAATTGTACGGTTGAAAAATTATATCTCAAATGATGAGACGGCTAACGGTGTTATTGCAGACGAGTCACGCTGAGCCGGAATTAGACGGACACATCTGTTGTTAATCGAGTTAAATTGGTTGTGTCCGTTCCTGGCCGCTCTGTGAGGGAAGACGGTGCACAGCGTACAGGAATGTAGGCGAAGAGCTGGGAAGTAGTAAAACGTGTAAGTGTGATTTTGTATTTCAGATTTCCATTTAATATGTTGTTTTTGCTGGTATCCTGTTGGTTTGACGGTGCGTATAATTCAGGTTTGGTTTTCTCTTGTGCTAGCTTAATTAATGTTAGCTTTCTTGACAAACGAACCAGGTTAGAGTTAGCATCAGCAGGCTAACTGCATTCTTCACCTGCTTTTTGGTCTGGAACATCTTATTTTCAGATGCGTTGTTGTTATATGTTATGCTTTTTTTTTTTTTTTTACTCCCTTTTGTGCATTTAGCAAAACTAAATGACCTACACTCAGTGATTTAAGTTTCCCGTTTGGGTAAGCGCTGCTGCTCCTGCAGGTTGTGTCCTGGTGCATTAATTAGACATTTAGAGTTAAATTTTAAATGCGGTTATTTGTCAGAGATCAGGCGTTTACATGCCATTTAGTTATTGTTGAAAATATGGGGTTTCAAGTGTGGATTTTTCTTTTTTTGGTTTAGTTTTTTTCTTCTTTACGTTTGATAAATACCCATCTGGAGTACACTTATACAGATAGTTTAATCTCATTGTCTAACATTAAATCACACTAAATCTTCCTGCGTTAGATCATGACAGAGTGTATGATTGGATGGTAATGAGATAAATTCTTAAAAAAAAAATATATATATATATATATATATATATATATATATATATATATAAATACTCTAAGCTGTGTGACATGGGTCGGAGGTCTTTTCTGAAGCGTCTTGCAGGAGTTTATTTGCTTGTTTCTGTAGATATGTTTTTTTTTGTTGTTGTTGTTATGATGCCAATTATTCTGTTAAGTTCAAAACTCCCCCACTCTAGGATGCTGTCCTCCCTGCACTGCAAAAAAATCGTCTCTAATTTACGGTAAAACACCGGCAGCTGTGGTTACCACAATTTCACTGTATAAAACCGTTAAAATTTGGTAACTTTTATTGGAATTTTAGCGTATTGAAATGATAAAATTCCAGAATTTTATTGTATTTATGCAGAAAAATTTGCAGTATAAATATAATTTTACCGTAATAAATACAATAAACGTCTGGAATTTGTACAATAAGTTTCTGGCAACCACAGTTGTCGGTATTTTACCGTAAATTAGATATGCTTTTTGTTTTTGTTTTACAGTGTGTACTTCATAATGTGGGCGGCGTTCTCAGCGTTGTGAGTTTACCGTTCCCCCCCCCTAAATAAATCGGTAATTATGGCAAAGCACTTCCACTTTAGTTTTATGGCTCCAAAATTTAAAGCTTTTGCATTTACAAACTGTAAATGTAAACTTTTTGTCTTTATGCTGGTTTTAGATTAAATGTTTTCTGTACTATGAGTGACCTTTCAACCTAAGTCGGTACAAGTCTCATTTTGTTGTGAACTGTGAACCCCCAGAAGGTGTTTTGCCTTTGTTTTTGGGCTTATTCACATATTTTGCATTAAAACACATCCGTCCTTCCTGATCAATATAGCTGGACATTCCTGTGGCGTTTAGAGTTATAATTATTTAAAATGATTTAAAACGGATGAATGTGGCACATCTGAAAGTTGTACTCCAGGATGAATCAGATTTGTAGAGTCCTCTTCCTGATATCTTGACTGATTTGTTTGGATTTTTTTTTTTCCATGACGTCAAACAATGAAGCATACATCCACAGCCGGGCCTCCATCTAACTCTGTTGCTGCATCAGGATCTTGTCGTGCAAATAGAGGTAATTTTAATGATTCTCACTGACATCATTAAACCGGAAAAGTTTAGTCTAGTTATTATTGCTCAGTGTGTCTGCTGGTTTCAATTCCAAATTTCCTAACTGTTGTGTTGATTTAGATGATTTCAGGCATATTTTTTCCAAAATTTTCCTGAAGTCATTCACAAGGTTTTCTGCCAGGAAGTAATTTATAAACCACCCTGAGTTCATACTGTGTATTTTACTCTAATATTTATCAGTGCTTTGTTACAAATACCTCATATGGTTGTTTAAACGATTAGTGTCGTTTCTCTCTGCAACCGTTTGATGCTGATGGCGATTGAGTTTGAGGTATGAAAACTTTTTTTTTTTTTAAGGTTTTCTAGGGATTATCATTTGGAAACGATTTTGAAGATCAGGCATCGTGTTTTTTTTTTTCTTTTTTTTCTTCCACTTCACAGCGACGCGCTAACTTTGTGTTGGTCTAAAAATCCCATTAAAATACATGGAAGTTTGCGGTTGTGGAAAAAGGTCGGCGAATACTCTCGTGTGTCATCATAGGAAACTGCGTAAGCCGCAGCAGCTGCAGAGCTGCAGCGTAGCTCAGATGCAATCAGTAGAAATTAAATGAACGTTTTCTGCAAGCGTTTTTTTCGAGAGGCGTAGAACTGCATTCTTGGTTGTTTTGATATATTAATCTTTGGTGGTGCACGGCTGAAGATGTACTCGGGTTTCTGTAGCCGCGTTTGTACATTTAATAGACTCTTTGGCGTATGAAGTTATAGAGCACAGTCCTCCGTTGAAGTCTTCCTGTTGTGTGTGTGCGCGCACATCTGCAGACATTGGGAACATCGTTATCACAGTGAAGCTCAGGAGTGAAAAGCTGTTCCCATTTTCGGAGATCCAGGCTTAGTTCTGGACTCTAAAGATGAATTTTTCTCTCTTTATTTTTGTAGAGAAAGAGAGAGAGAGAGACCAGCGGACCACAACTGTTTTGCATTCTCTCGGTGCGCCGCCCGCTCTTGGAGACGGTTCTGGTGCCGCTCCACAGCGTTACAGGGAGGCACGCATTAATA